GATGAGGTTGTGGATGGTTTGCGAGATGATGGTTTGGTGCTCAGGGGTGGGGTCATGATCAAGGGGGCGGTAGGAGGTGGTGTCGGAGAGTTGGCGTCCGGCCTCGGCGATGTAGAGGTCAGTGCGCCATACTACAACTGCGCCTCCCTTGTCCACGGGTTTTATGGTGAGGTTGGGATTGGAGCGGAGGGATCGGAGGGCTGCACGTTCTGCGGGGGAGAGGGTGGAGTGGGTGAGATGGGTGGAGAGGTTGAGGCGATAGTCTGGAGGGCTGCAGGGTCCCCAAGTGGAAAATGAGGTGTTGTTCTTCCAGCTTGTGCTGAGCTTCGCTGGAACACTGCAGCAAGCCAGAGACAGAGATGTTGGCCAGGGAACAGGGTAGTGTGTTAAAGTAGCAGGCAACTGGAAGTTCAGGGTCTTTTTTTGCGAGCAGGATGTAGATATTCTGCAGTCACCCAATCTATGCTTTATTTCCCCAGTGTAGAGGAGGCCACATTGTGAGCAGCAAACACAGTAGACTAGATTGTGTGAAGTGCAGGTAAAGTATTGCTTCACCTGGCAAGTACGTTTGGGTCCTTGGATACTGGGGAGGGAGGAGGTAAATGGGCAGGTGTTACACCTTCAGCTATTGCAGGGGAAAATGCTGTGGGCCTGTGGGAGTGTGTTGGGAGTGAAGGAAGAGTGAACCAGGGTGTCCCGGAAGGAGACAATAAGGACTGCAGAGCCTGTGTCTATAGGAGAGAGGCTGGAAAAGCACAGTAGGTCAGACAGCATCAGAAGAGCAGGAAGGTCAACGTTTCAGGCTAACACCTTTTGTCGGGTTTCGGCCCGAAATGTTGAAATTCCTGCTCCTCTAATGCTGTCTGACCTGCTGTACTTTTCCAGCCTTACACCTATAGACTCTGTCTCAGAGGGAACGGTCCCCTATGGAAGGTGGACAAGGGAAGAGAGGAAAATATGTGTGTCTGGTGGTGGCATCTCGCTGGAGGTAGTGGAAATGGTGGCTGATGATCTTCTGGATGTGGATGCTCATGGGATGGTAGGCAAATCTATCATGTTCAATATACATACAATCTTCCATGGTATAATTTCAAGGAACAGTAGGTACATCCCCTCAATTAAAAATCACTTGGAAAAAAAAAATCACATTGCTGTTCACAGGACCTTGCGCTGCACAAATTGTTTGCTGAATTTCTCACTGTATAAAGTGGAACAACATTTCAAAACTACTTGGTTGGCTGTTAGGTCCTTTTGGATGCTCCAGGGCTGTGCAAGGCACAAATGGAAGTATTTTCTTCCTGTTTCTTCTTTCCACATTTGCATCAGACTGGTTTTCAGCCGTGTTGCTGAAAGGCAGCTATTGTTTCTCATGGCTCCTGAAGTTGTAATGACAGCTGGTCATGGGAAGGTACAGTTAAAGGCTCTGGAGCTCTCCCTGACCGGCATCTCTCAAGGAGAAGCTTCAAGCAGCAAGATGGGAGGGGGTTCAGGGTGTGGTTATACAATACAGCACAGAAACAGGCCCATCAGCCCACCAACCCTGCACTGATTCCTAATCCTATTTTAAACTTACTACTTATTGCCCGTACGCGGTTTCTATTCCTCTGCTTACTTCCCATTCATGTGTCTATCAAGATACACCTTAAACACTGCTAACGTGCCTGCTTCCACCACCGCTAATAAATAAATAATAAATCAACAAACAAGGTTAATAAATGAACAAGAGAAGAAGTGAAAATAGACCGTACCTTGACGAGGGCAGGCCAGAGCATCTCATGTTCACCGAAAAACTCCTCAACAGCAGCCAGGCAGTTCTGATGATCTACAGCCCGCTTGATATAATTCTTCAAAACTAATGCCCACTTCTTCAGATGCTGAAATAGATATTAAAAAACTCATTCCTTCTCACTTTTGATTCAAGGTTTGTGGTTGTATTTTGGATCTGTAATATTACTTCATAGAGGCTTAGTTTCTGATCACTATCAAGTTAACCCCTCCTCCGGTAGCTGATTATGAGGTATCACGAGAATAGACTTAACTTGTTTTATGGTCATGCCATACTGTGCAATTTTTGCAGATACTGTATTTGTACATAGATAAAATATTACTGTACGAAATTTCAATGATGTTATCTTGATTCCATGCATTAGCTAATGTTATTCTCATTGGCCATTGATTCATCTTGAAAATTTAAAAACAAAATAATTCAGTCTGCACCACAAGTAAGGCCAGCATTTACTGCACATCTCTAGTTACGCTTGAGCAGCGACAGTAAACTGGTCTTGAACCAATGCAGTCCATAAAGTGTAGCTACACCCAGAGTATTGTTAGGGAGTAAATTCCAGGATTTTTATTTAATGACAGTGAAGAAACAGCTGATACAGTTTCCAAGTCAGGATGTTGTGTGGCTTGGAGGAAACCTGCAAATGTGGTGTTCTCATGCAGCTGCTGTCTGGTCTTTCTAGGCAGTTGAAGTTTCACATTTGAAAGAAGCTGTCAAAGGACCTTGGTGATTTGCTGCAGTGCACCTTGTAAATGATAATGCATAGTAACCACTCTATGCCAGATGTGTAGAGAGTGGATTTTTAAATTGATGAATGTACTGCTGCTGAAATAATATGAAGTTTTGACATTTGCTGCAGCTGTGCATGTCCAGGCAACTGGAGAGCATTCCATCTCATTCAGTTCTGGCTTTGATGAGCTGAACACAAAATCTGCAACTTGCAGATGTGGAAGCATGTGCTTACTCCTCCGTCGTCAGTTCATCTCTCATTCTGCAAGGTAAATCATTTGTTGCTTTCACACTTTTTCACGTTCGTGTTCCTTGGAAACGTGGACTCAGATGGTCTGCCCCAACTTGTTAACATCAACCCTCCAGAACTTGTCTTTCCTTTGACAGCCAATCATGGCCTGACCCCATATAATCAACTGTAATATTAGTAGCAAAACCACCAAACAAAGCCACCGACATTCTGTGACAAGGAAAAGCACTGACATTGCAACAATATGTTGAAAAGCTGGCAACTTCCTAGGCTCTTCAGGTGCTAGCAACCTTGTTAAGTGTTGTCAAATGTTTGTCCAGTTCCATAATCCAACCAGGGATTTTTCAAAGCAACACTGCTGCATCACTGAGTAAAGGACTGTCCATTATAGCCATAAAAGACAATTCTTATACTACTAATAACTCTTACAAGATAGCTGCTCTCACTTCTGTCTGAAAGTTTTGATTTCGACACCCACATTATGTAGCTGACACTCTGAGTGCGATACAGAGAATGCTGCTCTATCAGAGGCAGGTGAAACATTAGACACAAGACATTTGCATAGTGATTCGCTGACTTAAAACTATGGTACAACTTGTGATTCGACCCCTAGAAGCACTGTGCATACACAGGAAGCTGCAGTGAAGCTTATCATGACAGTAATAGCAAAACTTACTTTTTGATCTGTTTCCCTGTAGTCAGAAGATGGTGCCAACATTTTTTACATTTTAGAGAGTTTGGCAACTCAATGCAGCCATTCCCAGTCAAGCCTTACAGCTGCACCTGGTGTGCTCACTGGAACCATTTCTTCTTGTTCCTCCAAAGACATGGATAACTGCCAGCACACTCGTCCTGCTACTGAATCAAACTAATTGGTTACGTATCTCGTTACCGTTTTTGGGACCTTACACAGATTTGCTAGTATGCTTAATCAAGTAACAAAAACTGACTCCACTTTCTAACACACAAAGAACTGGAGTAGGCCATTCAGCCCCTTGACCCTGTACCTACATTCAATATGTTCATAACTGATCTAACTGCAAACTCAAATCCATATTTCCACCTATCCCTGATAACTCATTTGCCTTGCTCAGAGCATATAAAATGATCTGATGGGAAGAAACACTCAGTGGTCAAGGTACTTTCATGTAGAGTTTGAGATGGGCTGAAGGACTAGCTTGTCTTTTCCTGATTGCACGTATTTTCATAAATCCCAAGAACGTGAAAAACCACTTTCTATTTGGCTACACTGACTTGTCATGGCTTGTTGCATGAAATAAAATATCGCAGTTGGTAGAAATCTGAAACAAAGACAAGTGCTGAAAATATTTAACAGATCTGGCAGAATCTGTAGAGAGATGAAAATAGTTAATATTTCAAGTCTGCAAATGCTCAGGAGAACTGGCAAAGGTGAGAGGTGTAGAAGGTGTTCAATCAAGTGCAGGAACAGGGAAGCGGGGTGGAATAAGTGGGTGGGAAAGAATCTCCACAATTGCTGCCTGCTCTGCCAGGTATCTGAAGCATTTCCTGTTTACATATTCAGCATTTGCATTAATTTGCTTTTTACATCACTTCACAGACCATTATGCAGATTGGAGTAGAAAGTCAGACTGAAAAACAGATGATCAAATGGAATTCATATGGACATGAGACATCAGCTACTTTGGATTTGAGATAGATAAATCAAGACATTATGTTCAGAATGAGAAAGTGGATCTGTGGAGAAGCAGAGTCAGGTATGCATGCACACAAATTGACAAAGGCTAGTATACAGGTACAAAAGGCAACCAAGAAATGATAATGGAACATCAGCCTTTATCTCAAGTGGGCTGAATTACAAAGGGAATGAAATAACATCCCTGTTACAGAAAGCTGTAGTTAAATAACATATGGAGTACTGCATTCAGCTCCGGGCACTGCAACTCAAGGTGGTTATACTACTCTGGGAGAAGGATTCAGTACAAGTTTGCATAGCACAACAGTAGAACTGAGAAGGCTAAATTATGAGGATGTAAAATTGGTCATGGCTGCCACTTCGATAGAAGATAGCACCTTGCATGGTTCACGTCAAGAAAGAATTTCAGCTGAATCTGAGCACCCCTGAGACCAAAGCTGCAGACTTCAGCAAACCCATCACTGTGAATCCTACATCAAACTTTCACAGCTGTGTGGCTTGAGAAACCTTCTACTTGGAATGGGAAACATTCAGCCCCAGGGTACACTGTCCTGTTCTGCTGACTCTGAGCTGCTGCAGCCTCCACTACCACCAGGTCAAATACTCACAGATGTGAGAGTGTTGCTGTACTGGCTGGCTGAGGTTTCAGATCCATGCTGTTGCAGGGGCATTTCCAGGATCACCTTAGTGGTGATCTGTGTCACGTCTTTCAGGGAGATGTTATAGGCATATCTAGGAGAAAAAAATAAATTAAAACAGCATGAATTTATAAACTGCCTTTAACATAGCAAAATCTAACAAGGATCATTGCAAAAGTATAATCAGATGAATTTTGATATCAAGCTGCAAAGGCATATTAGGACACAGAGGTATATTTTGAGAGAGAGAGAGAGAGAGTGGAGAGAAACTTAGGAAAGGAATTTCAGAGTTCAGCCAGATAAGGCACAGCTGCCAATGGCTGAATGACTGAAAGTAGAGATCTGCAACAGATCAGAATTGGGCGGCGCTGAGATCTTAGCAGAGTATAGGCTGGAAGAAGTTACAAAATAGGGGGATAATATGGCTGAGGTGCTTGAACGCAATGAGAATTTTAAAATCAAGCCACTGCCAGACTGA